GCTGGCCGTTCCTGTTGATGCTACTGCTGCTGTTGAAGAGGCGACAGAGAGCGAGAGAGAGAGAGAGAGAGAGAAAGAGAGAACGAGCGGAGAGGAGCCTCTCCAACGACATGCGAAGAGACGCGTCCGACGCGACGACGACGGACAACGAGCGAGGATCGCAGACAGCCCTAGTGAGACACGTCGGCGGCGACGAACGACAGAAGTATCCATGGAACTGAAAATCCTCCTGTGGTTTCACATCGTGGGTGAGTCGCCTTCCGTTCACTTTCCGCCCTTGCCTCCCTTTACACGCGTACACGCGCACGTACATGCACACATATATGCACGTCGTCTCGGCACGCATAACACGCAGAATCTCTCCCGTTGCATCTGGTAAATGGTCACCACGATGTCATGTCGACAGCATGCATGCCCTTCGGGATATCCTCCTTGCTTTTCGGTAGTTCTCCTCAATTCGCGTGTCCTCCCGCTGGCTAGCTGGCTAACTGGCTGACCGCCTCTCGTACGTTCGTTGCCCCGATAAACGGCATCCTACGGTATAGATCCATCCTTGCGACTTGTATGCCGAATCGGGTTGCTGCACTCGATCAGCTATCGGCCAACGTGGTCCGCACAGAGAGCCGTTCTATTCCTTTCAAGGACGAGATGGAGCACTTTCGCGCGGCTGCAGCGACGGCACGAGCTCGCAAAAAACTGCAAAATATGAAAATATAAGCCAAGTTAACCGTAGACAAATATTTCGTTCGAAAACGTACGCTTTCATTGACACAGTTCGTGTAAACATGTGCGTTTTACGTGGTGCAAAACCGACGATATAAATTTTACATGCAAACGTACGTATATTCGACTTTTCGGTCAAGCTATTACGTTAAATCCAATGAATTTATTATGTTAACATGGATTAAATTAAATTGCCGATATTAAGCGAGATTAAATTATCGCATTATCGCATCGAAGCGCATGGCGCCAAACTATAAAAATTTCAAGTTAAAGCGTACGACTATACATTACCGTCGTTAATTTAGCGCCGCCGTAAAATTCATGCCTGAGTGGCTCCAGGTCAGACGGTTTTTCACGATATCAGAAACTTTCTCCATTACGGATATTAGCATAAAGTACATGCATAGACGATGCGGTACGCGCGAGGACTGCGAAGCTGTCGTAAGAATTATAACGCGATACGCAAACGTCGCGTAGAGAGAAACGTCTCTGTCGGGATCCTCGGGATTTCCAGCTCACGAAATGGGTTTTCGTCTTGGCGATGGGCGTTGCTACTCGGGGAACAAAGCGCAAAAACTGTTAGCGAAGACGAGAGAGGCGAGACGTCTCCGGGAAGAGGATCTCCTTTTCGCCGCGAGCATTGAACCAGCCGGCGTTGTATCCGAGAGAAATGTCGGACGTTGGCGTCGGGTCGTTGCACCATTCGCCATAAAACGTACGGGCGTTCCCCGTAATAGGGCATTAACAAATTTAACGAATTCCCATCACGGTGGTATATAATCGCATTAATGACATTCTGGCGAATGCGATTTTATAGTGCGCGGCGGAGAGCCCTCCATCGCGCCGGATAAATTTCACCTCCGGCACGAGCTCAAAACTTCCTCTGTTATTGATGTTTTCTTTCTTAATATTAACACGGTCGTCGACGAACAATCGAATATTTGATTATCTTCAAACTGTATGATATATTAATACATACATACATACATATATATATA